TCGGTAATTAAAACGTTCAGATACTTGTTATATTCTTTGTTTCGCAATTGTGATGTTGAATACTTCTCTGCATAACCGTAACGTGAAAAACCCCTTAACTATGGAGGGATTTGTTTCTTTATACAGGGGAATCGATGAAGGGAAGGATGTTCCAAAAGAGCTTCTTGAGGTCAGTGAGTTCTCGTTAACTTGCATGCTGCATTATTTTTTATTTAATTACGCTGGATTGCTGCATTTTGTGTATCTTGTAAAGTTCCCTCATATTTTTAACTTCGAAATTTGTCACTTAACTGAGCTGGAAGCAATTGGGAAGAGATGAAAGCAAGGCCAAAAATGCGGATTATTGAGTAACTGAGCAAAAATCTTTTTCCTCTCTGTTTTTCCCTTTTGGTTTAGTCATTTTTCAGAGCATTTATGAGTCTATTCGCACAGAGCCGTTCCAATTCCCAAGCGACGATGGCAGCGATTTTTATAATACATTCTTTAATCCAGATCGCGAGGGTTGGCTTTTGAAGCAAGGTCGTGATGTTTTCATACATATTACGCAATTTTTTAATGGTTCTTAGTAGTAATTTCATTACATAATCTATCTCTGAATTTTTTTAGCGTCTTCGCAGTTAGCAACAACTCGTCCCTTTTTAAAAACTTGGCAGCGACGATGGTTCCTTCTATCCGGAAAATGCTTATATTACTTTGAACACACAGCGGTAGCTTCTTTCAGTATTCTTTTCTATATGAAAATAAAAGAAAAAATATCTTTAGTGCGTTGCTGGCTTGAGAAATTTTTTGAATGATTTTACTGCACATTCAGTGAGTTTCCAGCAGTTGCGAGCGTTTTTCTTTTAATACAAAAGCAATTCTTGTTTTACTTTGTTATCCTTAAACCATTTGGATTAGATTTTTTGCGAGTTGGTTCTTATATTCTTTTTTGATGGCTTGAGTTGGTCTAGAAGTTGTTACATTCTTTACTAAAAAAATCGTCCCAATTTTTTTTTTTGGACTTTTGGAAAATTTTGAAAGATAGCTTCCAAGCAGATTTAGAGTAAGGTTCGCACTTTATAGTTTTTGCTACACTTACTTCTGTTTAGGCTAAGGATCCGCGAGGGATAATTCCTTTAGAAGATGTGAAAGTACGTACAGTGGAAGAGAAGGGCAGACCTTACTGTTTTGAGATTTACAGCGAGAACTCTGATGTGAATTTTATCATTCTCATAGTTCCATTTGCTTTTAAATTACGGCCTTCCAGGCTATTTAAAACTCTTTAAAGGGTTTTCTGTTTTTAAGTTACTTTTCTGCCTATTAATTGCGCTGACGACTTTTAGAAGGTGAAGTCCTGTAAGACAGATGCAGATGGGCGAGTTGTTGCTGGACGACATGCGTCTTACAAGATGTGCGCATTTTCGGCAGAGGAAATGACGCAATGGATTAATGCTATACAGTAAGTATAAATTTTTTTCCAGTTTAAACTTTTTCTTGCGTTAAGATGATTCATTTTTAAAGTTTGGGATTATAGGAATTGTGTCAGAGAACTGGCAAATGTTTTTTTGCGTCATGAATGTTCATTACTTTTCGTCAATATTTATTTATTTATTAGGGGGACAAATGTGGAAAGTAGGCAATTTTGTAACATCAAGTATTATATTTCCAGAAAGTCTATAAATTACGATCCCTTTTACCAAATGCTCCAACTAAAGAAGATGAAGCTGAAAGGGAAGGGTTCGTGACAACGGTTATTAATATATTTGAAGGTTATATTATAGAAGCTCCCTACCGCATATTTATTAAAATTTGTGCCTGTTTTTCTTGAGCTGTCTGTGAATTATGAGAATTTTTGCTTTGTTAGATTGTTAGCGCTAATGCTGCTTTTATTGTGTGTAAATTTTCTTCACCTCTTCTGCGTTCTTAATTAGAAGGACTTTTGGAATAAGTGGGAGAACCGTTTTATCTTCTTTGAATGTAAGTATCGTAGTGTACAGTTTAGGTGCGGGTCTGTTTTTTGCGTTAAAACAAGTTAGTGAGCGTGATTGTTGGAATGTAAAGGATTGGAAGTCACGTTTATCTATCTGCATTCTGTTATATTAAACTTTAAGCCACATGTTTAGTCTTTAGGGCACGTAATTAATTTTCAAAAATTATGTGGTATGTTTTCATGTTGTAGATTTTTGATAAGTGTTCTTGAGGAGTTCTTCTCAGTTCTAAGTTGGTCGTTGGATAATGTATATGAACTTAGTTTGAGGAATCTGATGCGTTAAACGCCAGTACATCTGGCGGATTACTTTTTTGGTATTGAATATCGTAATATCGCAGTATTTCTATTTGTTTTTGTTTATTTTCAAGTAAAAGTGGTGCTTGGAGCAGCGACTAATCATGCGTCTGAAGCAGTATTTTAAATTACGCTAGCCTCTTTTCTAATCTTGAGCTGGTTTGTGTGTTGTGATATTATCATAATATTGTAACGGGCACGTAAAGATGCGTAATCTTGTTTTGGTATTGTGGTATATAGTTCACTTTTACAATGGATGTTTATTGTTTTAAAAATGTCAGGAAATAAAAGATTTATGGAAATGAGTAGTATGCAAGCAGTCGTCGTCGTTTTTGTTGGTTGCCGAATTAGTCAGGTGATTTAAAATTTTCGGAGGCAAATGGAATGTTGTAACAAAAAGTGTTTACTGATTGCCTCTAGTGGATGGGAGGCTAAAAGCTGGTTAGTTTCACTAGTGACATTTTCTAGAAGTTAGACTTTTAGTGGTGCTATGTTTCTGTTGCTGACTTTCATACGCTAGGCACCGTAGTGCGCGTAAAAGTTATCTACGTAGGTTACATGTTTTGTTCGTAAAAAAAAGCAATTGGCAGTAGAGTAGTTCTTTACAAGTAGTAGAAGGATATCAAAGTCTTAAGTGTTTTGTGGTAAAACATAATGGAGGATTTGTTTGTCTTGCTCCCGGGGAGCAATGAATCGTTATTTATTTGTGTGGATTTCGCAGTATAAAGTGATACAACTGATTAGATTGGGTTAGAGTCGCAATCTTAATATCCAGTATTCTAATCAAAAATTTATGGTTTAAAGCGATACGGTTGCTTTTTTCGATTTTAATAATTTATTTCTTTCTCTGTTGTTTAAAATTTGCCTAATAAAAGTGGGCAAGCGTACGGTAGTATTATTTCACAAGAAGATACTTCAGTTTTGACATAACAGAAAAAGCTTTAAAGTTTCTGCTATTCTGCAGAACCTATCTGCTCGCAGCTGTTGATTGTTTTATAATAAAAGAATTTTTCAATTATCTTGTTTGTGATTTTTCTTGAAAACATTAGATTGTTTTCTAAGAAAAAATTCATTTTTGCATGGAGATTTTATTCATGTCATGGTGTCATACTTGTGAACGTTTAGCTCTAACTTTTTCTGTTTTAAGGGTTTCTTACAACACATAATAGAATGCACTTACTAAAGCAACATTTTTTTCCGGATTTCTAAGCAATGCTTTTCACTGAACAGCTTGGAGCTGTTCAAGGAGCCACATGCAGATTCTTGGTCAGCAGCAACGCTCTGATTGAACAACGCAGAAAAATTTACTTTAATAGAGAGTCAATTGTCTTCAAGTTATTCAAAAGCTTTTGTGCTTTAAGCTTCATATTCGTCAAAGTTATGAAATTAAAAATAAATTGTTTTGTAATAATAGTCTTACTAAAGCGTCAGAATCCTCGATAATAGGCAATTTTGAAATATTTGGATATACATCGTGAAAAACTTTATTGTACAGCTAAACATTCTGGGAAGAGGGCCGATCTGAGCGGCAAATTATACATTAAATGATAAAGCAAGTGCTGCTAACAATGAAGTCGCTCTTAACAAGATGTGTGGCTGTGGAGCAGCTTTGTAGGAAGATTACGGATTAACTATTTATCAATACACAAACATCACGTAGTGGAATTTTTATAATTTGTTTTGAAGTCTTTATAACGATAAAGGCATATATATGGCTTATACATGGTATTTTAAGTGTAATTACTAGGAGAGTTTATTTAAAATTCAAAAACAAAGCTCTCTTTTTTGGATTATAGATAATAACGATTATTGAATCTCACGTATTAGAGTGGCTGTTATTAAATTGTTTTACAACAGCGAAGTAATTTTGCCATTAAGAGTCTTGATTCTTAGCTTGAGAGTCTTGTTTATTTTCTGACAATTGAGAAGATTCATTGCCTAGAAGAAAAGGTATTCCTCCATGCGAGAGAACTGGTAAATTATGTGAGTCAAACAAGATCTACCGACAGTTGACTTGTTTTTTTCTTCTTGTCTTGCAAAAAACAAAAAAACCCACTCGTTTACGCTATTTCGTAGCGGGTAAAATACCAAGTAAATTGGTGTTAGTACGTTTATTTACCTGACTTATCAGACCTTTCGTCAAATATTTATCTTTTTCTCCTCAAAACTTAGGATGCTTTAGTGCATTAGAAAGTTCACCTTGTTTGGACCCAAGTCTTAATTAGTTTTAAAGGGTTCTCCAGGTCACATATACTGAGGAATTCAGTAAAGGAGTCATTCTAGAAAATTTCGGAAGCACTGCGTATCATCTGCTGATGACTATCTTGACGAAAGAAATGTTTCAGAATCTATTGGCAGGAGGTAGAGCAAAATTTTAATTTTGAGTGCACCATTTCAGTAATATTGTTAGCTTCAAATTTTTTTGAAAATATGACTGTTTTTTGCCATTTGTTGGTCATACCAAAACTTTACTCTTATTGTCTAAAATAAATTTGTATGCTACTGTTTACAAAAGCTTATTAGAACTCTGAAGAAGACGTTTGAAAGAGTGGAATTGCGAATTTTCAGCTTTCCATGAAGTTCAGTTTTTTGGATGTAAAATCGGGTGATGTTGTTAGTTTGAAAGCTTACACTGTGACTGTTACGGCGAAATATAATCATTCATTTTCTTTGCTCAACTCTTCGCTGTGGTTAACATTCAGATTTTCTGATTTTGAACAAAGTGAATTTTAATTTGAGCGAAAAAGGGCTGGCTGTTAAAAACAACATATTACTCTTTGATTCTATGTCAAAAACTTGCATTTATTAATTATTTTATATCTTGTAAGGCTTTTTCTAATCTTGCGCATTTGTAAAAATACTTGCATATGAAGAAGTATATAGTAGTTGTCATAAATCGAATTTGGCTTGCATTTTTTCCACCATTAACTTTTCGTTGCTTTAGTCAAAGGATACACTCGTTAAAGCTTGTAGAAATTTAACTCTTTAACTTTAACGCCAAATTATAATATGGTTGGGGTTTTTTAATGACGGTATGAATTCTAAAGAGAAAGTTATTTAACCATTTTTGAGTTCAAACCATCGCTGAAATTATTCAGTGAAGTTTTTGGCATCAAAGCCCGCTTCATATCGTCGTGAATCATGTTATGCTCTAGAAGTTTACTACCTTTCAACGCAATACAATAGGTTGTTGGACCATTTCTGAACTTAATAACAGATTAAATTGGTTACAATTTGACAAAAAAAAGTGATTGTCGAGAATAAAGTGTAGAAGAACGTCTACTTCCTTGAAATGTTTGAAACATTGACTGTTGTACTTTGCTTAATGCTATATTAATGTCGCCAGACCAGTTGTTCTGATCAATTTTGGAGAAACTCACAGGAACTTGTTCAATTCATTTCTTCTTAATGCGCTTCTTCTCAATTTTTTCCTCAACTTATTTGATGACAGAGTTTACAGTAAATTAAGAAGAAATGAAAGAAGAAAGTTGAGAAAAGTTAAAATTTAAGACCTTCCGTTTGAAAAAAAAAAGGGTTACAGATTATTAGAGGGTTCCAAAATTTTATGTGGGCGTCGTCACATGTTATTGGTAGAAAAAAAAAGAATCGGAGAATTCTGCACAAAAAATAAAGCCTAACAGCAAATTTTGTTTTTGTCAGCATTTGATCACCGAAGTTATTTGTTCGATATTAGCAGCAAAAGCATAGCCTATAGTTTTGCCGACAGTGTGCAAATTTTTGTTAGTGTCAAAAAGTGGTTGCAATTTGAACACAGTATTTTTTTTTAGTGTGTGTATTGGTCTGTGTGTTGTTTGTTTGTTCGTTTGTTTGTTTGTTTGTTTGTTTGTTTGTTTGTTCGTTCGTTCGCTCGCTCGCTCGTTTGTTCGCTCGTTAATTTTTGTATTGGTGTGTATTTACGTATGTCTGTTATTGGTCTAAAAAAAAGCAGAAACTAAGGAGTAGGCAAAACAATAAGACTATGGAAGAGAAAATAGTGTTTTGAAAAGATTTTTTGCCTGTGAAATAACGGGAGAAGAAACAGCAGATTTTTGTTGGTACTGTTGCTGTTCTGTGTCTGATGTCGGTTAGATGAAAATATTATATTTTTCTGAGTACCTCTGAAAACAGGCAGCACTGGCGGCTGATTACTTAAGAAGTGAAGATAAATGAATGAGTGATCAATGAATGATAAAACTGAGCAGCTGAATTACAGTTTCATCAATGATTCTGCTTCCAGAAACAACAACATTATCTTCGTTATCGCAAACAGCAACAAATAAAAGTACATTGGATATTTCAAAGATCTTTTTATAAGTTGAAATAATTTAAAAAAGCTTTTTTTTTTTCGTTTTTGATTGCATCATTTCTGTGCACAAAAATACAACGTTGACTATCAGCGTAAGGACAAAAAAAAAATGTACGTAAAAAAAAATTTTTTTTCAATTTCGCAATCGCTGATGT